GGTGGGAGTGCCGATGAAGCAAACCTATGTTTGCTATAGCAATCGACAACGTTACTTATATTCGTAAGTAGGTAGGGTTTCGAGACTACCTGACCGTCCTTGAAACTCACTTATGCCCTGTGACTCAAGGGTGTTGATAAGACCAATTGAGGTCGAAACTGCAGTCCACCCAGGATGAGAACAACTTTTGGGAAAGCAAGGCTATGTGAAATTCAATGTAAACGTCAGCTCAACTCATATAATTGTGGGGAAATTCTACTGCCAGTCCTTCATCACCTTAGACGAAATAGAGGGAATACATCTCACCACATTAACTAGTTAATGTTTATAAACTCACTTGCTCATTTGGCTACTACCATCGCCTTCCAAAGGAAATGACTAGTACTTCCTCCAATTGTAATCCTAACATACACTATAACGGCAAGGGCTCTGATTTGTGGCTGTATTGAAGCAACCCTGACTCGCAATACTTTGAAAGTGCGATAGAGTGTAAGTTGCACTTGATAAACCTTTCATAAATTTCAATCTAAAAGGAGTTTTGATGCTCCCTAGCAGGTGTATGGGCTAAGGTCTTAAGGCTGATAGATACTTTCTGTAGATTTTTTATACAATTAAATGCTTAAATATACGCTAGTACGGCGTCAAGAATATAAGAGTATTATTTAATAACCCATCGATATTAAGCATATTCTATAAAAGATGTCTCCCTTCCATCAGATGGCCGATCAAAGAGTAAACGGATATTTTGCTCACAAATAATATTGAAAAAGTCGATTCAAAGACGACTATCAAGTTAAGCCTTATCTTATAGTCTAATGGAACAAGCATATTTAATAGGCCATATGGCTCTCTGAATATGTTATTTTTAATTACGCCTATAGTGGGAAGACTTATCACTTTACGGAAAGATGAGCATCAAGGTTTACTGATTACTTCACGATTTGGCTCAGATTATTCCAACAGACCCCTAGAGAAAATGAAGCTCCCTAATGTCTAACCCGCAATATATCTCTTACTATAAAATTATATAAAGTGTAGTATTGACTTATTGAACTTCTTCGATATAAGCTATTTTAAAGACTGAACTCTTGTTGTGGCGATGTCTATTTCATGCGAGCGTATTCAGTAAAGAATTTCTACAGGTCGATCAAAAGAGAAGACGACAGCAGATTCCACTCGAAATGCTGTAGTTTGCGTTTAACGGGACTTTCAGTCTGACAAAGGTCTCAATACACCTTAATTCAACTCTAAAGAAAACCAATTTATTCATTGACGGTCTTGTCACTTATAGGAAATCATAGCAACTTAACGCTGACACCGAGGAGAGAGCACTCAGTAATGCAAACACAATTTACCTCTATTAAATTATTTCTAAACAGTAGAATACGGGCCTCGAAGTTGGAATTTTGCTAAGGTCTGCTAGTGAATATGGTTCATTTGCAAAAGTCTCTGCTGTAAAATGTCTTAATTGTACTCATATTCTTATTATTAGGAAAACTTTCATTCCGTATACATGTGCATGAAGATGAGATTTGAAGGTCGATATCACCAGATGACGACGGCTGAGTCCTGTTGACCTGCAGCCGTTTGGCTTTATTACGAGGTTCAGGTTGACGCATTCTACGAGACATTCTTCCTCACCTCGGGCGCAAAAGAGTGATGATGGATATCATTAGGGCTGTAACTCATTCTTGGAAAAGTCTCAAGTGAACACTAGGCCAAGAGGAATGCCCGGCTCTATCCTACCTCTTATATATAACCATAACTAAAAAACGAAAATGTATGCTCAAAGATAGATACAGATTGGTTTGTCTAATTATCTTTCATAGTAAACATGCCCTGATGATGTCAATCATATGATGTCCAATATTAAAGATAATTAGCCAAATCGATCTATATCTATTTACGCTCATACATTTTTGTACCTTAATTAAGTGTATATACGAGACTAGAAAGAGCTGGACAGTTTTCTTGACTTGTTGTTAACTTGAGACTTTCATAAGAACGAGTTCCAGCTCTGATGATGTCCGTCATATAAGGAACAGAAACTCAGTCCCCTCGACTGCGTCAACATAAAGGTTCTATTAAAGCTAGTTATCGTCTTCTTGTGAGATCGACCTGCGAATCTCTTCTTCATGTACTTTCACACAAAATAAAAGTCTCGCCAACAATGTTATCTTCATCCAAACCCATTTATCTTTCGTATCCTCTTACTCTTAAAAATCCCTCGAATTACGGTGCAAAACTGCAATGATTAACATAGACTGCAGAAATTCATATAAAATATTTGACGGATTTGAATAGTTTCTCCAGCCAACAATTGTATCTGGTAGATTTGCCAGCAATTTTTAGGAAAAGGAAGGGTACTCCATCAGTATTATTTCCTGATCTAGGTAGTAAATTATATGCATATTTTTATTTGTAAAAATTGAAACATGATTGATATTTGTTTAAAGCTAAGTTTACTAATGGTGTTACCCCCTCAATTTTTTGAAAAGCGAAACCACAGGACAGGAAGTTGAGTTAGGGACTTCGCATCCTCCCCTGTTGTTAATCCCACCAGGGCGCGGAAAGAGACAAGCTTAATGCTGCGAGAGACGGTAATCCTAGTACGCCTGTATTATCCTTTTCCATATGTTGCCAATTTAGATTTCATTTTTCCAGCCCAACAGGTTTTACATTATAGATCAAGGCCCTTATAAGCTGACACCAAGAAATTTCTTTCAAACATGACAGGCCCACCTTTTGCCGATTTGATTCTCCTGAGAAAATGGTGTGTTTTCCCACACGAGACACTTCTGATAAAATTGTGAAATGAAGTGAATTCAATGTACATCAGGCGAAATGGCATAATTTTTGGAAGGAAATTGATATAGAATGTCAATTAAATATTCTTCGAAAAAAGACACCTTCCTAACGAGTTTATGCGTTTTATGGAAATAATCTTCACTCTGTAGTCTCAATAAATGGTACAAAGTCAGGTCAGCGACTATATTTGGTTATTCACATCGTAAAGCAAGCTCCGTTTTTGTTTTTAGCAGAAAATGTGATAAGTGAATCCAATTCGAAAGGTTCTATGGCAATTTGAAGGCTGTGGCAAAATGGTATACCTAATTCCGATTTTATGAAAACTAGAAAATAACCTCTGGAAGTTAATGCTACATTTACCTTGTCATTGAGTAAAATCAGATTTGAATGAATTTTTTATTGAACAACTGGCGACCGCGCCCACGATTAATTGACAAAAGAACTTGATTTCGAATTGCTCTTCACTTTGCCATATTTCCCAAAAGGCATTTGTTAGCCAGCCTGGACGACACTTTTGGCCACTAAACTTGAAAGATTACTGATTTTTATGTTGATAATAACTCTGTTTCGTAGTTACTATAATGCAGTCAAGTTAAACGT